GAGATTTGAGCGAGAGAGAGAGAGAGAGAGGCACAGAGGCGACCAGAGAGAAACCAGGGAAAAAGAAAAGAAACGAAAAGGGGAAAAAGCAAGCATGTCCAAATGGAATGCAGGAAAGATGGGAAGAAGAAAAGAAAAGAAAAGGCCCGAAAAAAAGGGCGCCGCCGCCCGCCCATCTTCCTGCTCCATGGTATTTAGTGAGTTAGTCAATATATCTCTTGTCTGTAACTATGCTTTGCCGTAAAAATCAGCTGGGCTCGTAACTAACTAACCTATGGTAATAACAGCACAGCACGGTAATCTTTCGTTCAGGAAGAGTAAACTGGAGAAAAAGGAATAAAACAGAGCATTAGATGGAGGAAAAGAAAAGACAAGCAGCCAACTCTGTCCAATCTCCCGCTCTTCCCATCCAATAACTTTGATTCCAGCCCAGTTGGTGGGCTACACAGGGATGAATTAATAGTTTTATAGCAAGGCCCTATTTTGGTCGCTTTCGAACCTGACAGCGCCATCAAATCTAAGCATGCGACTAATCCTTACTCCTTTCGCCCATACAGAGCTGAGAATTAAGAGAGAGAAAGGGCCAGAGGGCTCGTTATGTTATGTTATGGGGGTAATATTACATCTCTCGGTCTTGTTACATGCGCAGAAGAAGACTTGCATATACAAACTCCGTACGTACATACTTGAGGGCGTACTTTCTTTTTTTTTTTTTTTTTTTTAAGCTACGGCCTTCCTTCACCCCATCTACCTGTCCCTTTCTATATTTGAATTTTTAATTTTTAAATCAATTTTCTTTTCATCTTCATCGTTGTCCCCAGTTCTTGAACATCCCGGCCATCTTTCTTTTTTTTTTTTTTTTTCCTTTTACCATCTTAATGCTTGTGGACTACTTAATGGTTATTTGTACAGCTCACGATTCCCCTTCTCTCTGCTGCCCCATGGAGTCAGCACCCCCGTCTTAATAATATCCGTATCTCTTCTTCTTCTTCTTCTCCTTCTTCTTCTTTCCTCTCCTTCTTCACTTTCTCTCTTCAATTCTTTGACCTTGCAGATTAGCTTAGCTCGCTGCTTTGAACAAGAGCCGGCCAGAGTCTCTTTAATAACTCTCGTTCACTTACACTTCCGCCGGATGACTTGACCCTGCCTGGCATTCAATATATACATTTGATACCTAGCCTTATTTCCTCTCCTTTTGCCTTTATATATCGCTCGCTGCAGCTGCCAGCGCAACAGGCTGTGCTTAATCAACCTCTTCATCCATTCTGGATTAACTATCTTTTTATATATACACATATTATACCCACTTCGCTGGCCCTTCCTGGTGATCTAGTACGACCTTTGAACACAGAAAAACAAAAAAACCAGGAAGATTTAAACCTAGCCTCCCTGGAATCCCGAGCCACTCAACCCCTCTCGCAATCTCTCGCGCAGTGCCTCTGCTCTTGAAGGCCTGTCTGTCTTGTCTGTTGGTTGTCCGGTTCTCGGAAGTAGGTTGCGTACACTTGATCGACATCGACACCAACAACAACACTCACATCAGCCCAGGCCAGTCCTATTTTTTGTTTCTCTAGACCAAAAGTTCCCCCCATCCCTTCTTGTTCTTCTAGAAAGAAGCAAAGAACCCTCGTGATAAGAGGATATATGTGGCAGGGGAAACGACGTGCGATCCCCCGCATAAATTCAACCTCTTTGTTCTAGCTCGCGCATCCATACCACCGGAAACGGCCACGGCTTGGTACGCTTGAGCTATCTGCCCCCAGAAGAAGGATTTGGGCTTAAGTGAGCGAGTAGCAGGCAGAAGACGGGTGGCCGAGTTTGGGGAGACCGAAGAGTATCGCTAGCCCGAGTTGCAGGAATCAGACCCTGCCTTCGTCACGTCCGTTTTGAAGCACTTCGAGCCTATACGCCAAATCATCCTCGAGTGGTTGAACCCCGTGTCTCGGAAGACTGGAGAGACGGTGTTACATAGTCCTGACGAAAGATGAAATCCAACGGGGTGATGCCTATTTCTCCACGACAGAAAGATGGAAAAGATCGGAATCCTCGATCGATGGAGGACGAATATGTCGTCTTCCTCCAAGGGGTGAGTCTCGTCCCTCATATTGAAGATATGATACTCCCCGGAAATATATGCTTGTAGCTGTGTCTGAACATGCAGCTAATAAATGATATCGTGTGGGGCAGATTCCACCACAGTGCCGGTGGCAGGAGTTGAAGGACTTTGTTCGCCAGACTGCATTGCATATCCGCCAAGCGGTGGTATATAATGATTGTCACGGCCATCCGACAGGCCTAGGTCAGATTATAGTGAAGAACGAGGACGAGGCATGGCGCACATATAGTACGTTTTGGGGGATAATCCTTTTATTATCCCTATGTCAAGGGTAAGGGTGTTCTGTCTTGCTCGTGCTGACTGGAGCTCCGTAGATCGACTGTCGACAAACGGATGGAACGGACATAGTCTCACAGTGACTCTCTCACTGGCTAGCGAGCCGACAAAACCGATAGCAGGGCCGACAAAAAGTCCATCTCTTAGTGGAATGCCATATGCCTCGGGATTCTCTGCTCCCCCAGTCACTTCAGCTCCAATGGGAGCCAGTCCAGCATGCGTTCCAAACCAGGAGTAAGTGAAGCCACGTCATTGAAGACATAGATAAATGTAGAGAGGGAGGTTTGAGCTAACAATGGGCTACCGGAGAAGCAGTATGCCGGCATCGCCTACATTTGCTCAACCGCCAGACCACCAGCACCCCCCATTCATGGCGCCCTTGCCAGGCGCTTGCCATCCACCGTATGTTCAATTCCCAGACTCAGTCGGGTACCATGTCCCCCTGGTCTTTCCCGGCGAGAACGCTTTCTTCGTACCTCATCCAGCATTCTATCCGCCATCGTTCGATTCATATCAATTCGGACAGCCGCGATACATGACGAACAACTGCATCCAAGCCTACCCCGGTTTCTTTCCTCACCGACACAGTCTATCTGGCCCTAGCGTTGGGGTCGCATCGGGCATGAACCACGAGTATTGCACACCAATATCACGAAACATCTTCATTCATAATCTCAGCCATGAAACAACCCCACAGCTCCTGAAGGAATATCTCCGTACCTCAGGGATCATTGAACGATGCGATGTATTTGACCGAAAGATCGGCGGCAGCACGCGGACCTGTGCCATAGTGGTTTTCCGGAACAAGGAGGAAGCAAAACGAGCCATTGCGCTGTTTGATAACTCCATGTTCAGGGGGTCGCGGATAAGAGTTCGTTTCGATAGGGAGCGTGGCGGAAGTCTTGGAACGGCCCATGGCAATGGTAATGGGTATGGCCATGGATACAACAACAGCCCCAGCAGAAACGGCGTCGTAAAGCATGCGATGTCGACTGCCGCTGCGTCTGAGCGTCCCGGTGCGGTTCCGACAGCCTCAGCACCAGGGGAGACAGCGAGGCAGGGGGCAAATGGTATGCCTCAGTCGACAATGGCAACGACTCCTGGAACTCCGACGAAGGAAGCCCAGCAGTCGGCAACAGAATCGCCATCACCCTCGCTGGTTGCAGTGACACCAACTTCGACTGCTGACGAAGCAGAGACTAAAAGCGAAAAGAGCAGCAGCAGCAGCTCTCGCAAGAATAGCACGGAGCCATTAGTCGTTAATGGCTCCTGTGTCGGAACCAAGTCTCCGGTCACAGGCGTCGAGAAAGGTGAGTCAATGCCAACATCACCGCATACGATCCATGATGAAACAGGCTTGATATGTGTTATATAACTCGATCTCCTTCCAATTATACCAGAAGTCCCAAGTAACGGGGAAAACGGAAGACATCCGAAGATAATATACTGACTTGTTCAAGTAGATGAGCTCTCCCAGCGCACGCTTGCACTGCACCTGTGATCGCCCATTTTTCGTTTCTCTTCTACTCCTCTTCATTTCCAAAACAATACGACAAAATATTCAGTGGAGAATAAAGGACCGACCCCATACCGATGTGATTGCGCTGGTTTAAAGGTAAAGAAAGGACCGACCCAAGATTAAGCCGTCCGGCTGGAGTCCACAATTCCCGCAACAGTAGTGTAACCGGATAAGAGACCTTTGGAACGTACCGGTGGAACATACTTTATAGGGTATACGATACGAAGAGACTGACTTCGTTTCACCATCCCGAGCTGATTTTCCCGTTTCTCAGGCTGATTTTGTTGTTTCCAGTCATATTTGCATGCTTTGCTGCCGTTATCATGATTCCATTCCCCATACCCCCAATACCATCATCCACTTGGCGAGCCTGTTCTTCATTTTGTTTATGCAGATCATCGACCCTTGCTGCTCATGAATTGTGTTTTTTTCTCTTCTATCCGCAGGGTTATCATCATTTCTTTGGAAGCATGGCGTTTGGTCTCTATTTTTTTCAGTTGTCAGGTTTTTTGTGCCTTGCAGGGAGCAATGGCTTCAATAAATAAATCGTTCTAACTCACGAGCTTGCCGGTAAAATGCCTGATGAGACATGAGCCTCCTCTTCACTGGGTAGCTGTCCGGCGACGTCTATCTTTCCCGTCTATAACAATATCAGGACTGCTTGCATAGAAGGGACGTAACGAGCATCGAGCCGGAAGCCGTTGAAGATTTGTGAGGAAAAGGGGGAGTCTTCATTAGTCAGCACATGTATGTGTTGGTTTATCCTAGTCACGTTATGTGGAGTTAATTCGGGCAAGATGAACCAATCAGAGAGCCTCATGCCCCAGTGAGGCTCTTTGGAGGGATGCATTTAGTATAGATGACAACGACGAACGATGCAGACAGCGGTTGAGACGGCGAAAGGAAAGGAGACAAGACCGATAGATGGCGATAATAGTTGCATGCTCGGCAATGGAAACGCCCGGCATGCCGTGATCATGAAGTGTGAAAGCATAACCCCCATATCCGGGGCAGCGGCATTCTCTTATGCACGATAACAAGAAGGAGGTCCAGGTAGCTTACGGCCCGGGAAAGCCGGTGGAGAAGCGGTTTCGTATCTCTTAAGTATTCTGAGGAGAAACATGAATACCATATAACTCCTGATACCAAAGCATGGTTTCACGTTCTTTTCCCATATGTGCCCAACCTCTTCAGGATGTGAAAAGAAGTGGCCTATCCCGTAACTACAGGACAAGGACTATGTTATTGACAGAATGTTTGACTGAAAGGCAAAGACCCAATAGGGAGATCAATATTTTCCCCATCCCGAATCAGTTGTCAGACATGGAAAATGTACGTGGGAACATTCAAGGATCACTGCAAGCTGCTGCTACTCCACACATGGTGCCCCAGCATCGGGCCAAGATAGTTCTTCCCACCTGATACAGGCATGGTAAATGCTTGGATGTCGAGCTTGATGACGAATAACCCTACAAGATCCGGTTACATATTGGCTGGTATCCATGGAGTGATATCAAGGTGTCTGGATCTAATTCAATAATGCCGATCAATCTCAATTCCTTCTAGGCATACCGAGTAATTGGACTCGAATGTGACCATCTACAAGCAGGTTGTAGATGAGGAGCGGGGAAGAGACAGCTAACTCTCTGGGCTGATCTCACACCTCTGCAGAATAAATGCGAGTTGAATTTCCCAATGGCAACTTTTACATAGGCCGGGTAAGCAGTTGCCGTTGAAGCAAAGCAAGCAAAAGGTCCAGAGCGAGCTAGCCGGTAGCCGGTGAGCTGAACAAGGTAGCAGACACAGACAGCCACAAGCAAAAAGGAGCGGAGGCAAATAACGAACAAGCTCGAGCAAGTGGTGACGATCAGTGTGGCTTGTACTCACCAGCCGCGAGGGGCGAGGACATCTGTGGTAGCAAGTTAGTTACATAGTTACATCGAGCGGCTTTTGAAAGGCAAAGCGGAAAAGATTCCCATATTATATAATCTGGCTTCAGAGTTTCCGACACATCTAGACAAGACAGATCCAACCAGGGTTGGGTCAAGGTCGCCAGAGCCAGACCAGTCTATCCTGGCGGCTAGCCTCGAAGAGGTCAATGGCCATGAAGGTAACCTTCTCTCCCTACCGTGGATACAGCTCAGGCAACTGGGGCTTCATGTCCAAGCGTCCCCCGTAATGACCGGTACTATTGCTCTGGACGGCACAGAAAATGAGATATGAGACTCGAATATGATGTTGGAAATTAAATAAGTAGATTAAATGCTAACTTAAAATGCGATGAACTAGCAGGTAGCAAAGAAGTATAAAAGGAGAGACGCCAAGCTGCCAGCAGCTCGGCCACAAGGATAAATGAAGACCCAGGGGGTTATTATTGGTGATATATCTAGATAATACACATGGTTGAATAGGAGAATATTGGTGGGGTGAGGGGGGGGACTGGAAGGGAAAGGGGAGGACAAGAATAGGGGGGAGGGGGAAAGAGGCGAAAGCGCCGTTGTGTCTGGCTCGAGGGCTCCACAAGAGGACAGTATGATTGATGGACTGTGGGTCGGGCGGCAACTGATCCCTTCTTAATTTTGTTTTCCAGAGAAGCTAGAAGCCGTTTCAAGCCTGTTTTGAAAGGGGCGGGAGAGAAGGAAAAGATGGGTGAGGTGATGGTGTGGTGACAGTTGGTTGGCTGGTTGGCTGGTTGATTGCCCGGTTCGCCTTTTTTCCCTCCTCTGCTCGAGAGCTTGAGAACGTGGCGTGGAGCCGCTTTTCTCCACGTATGTATTTGTGGTTGTTGAAGTTTTTTTTTTCTCCCCTCTGGTAGGAAGTCAAAAGGTTACTAGATGGCTGACTCGTCGATTTGCAGACAGTAGCAAGTATGACTCGGGAGTTGGTCAAATGCTATCTGTGCGAAGGAGAATGCCTGTATCTCCTGTGAGTACCATCGTAGGTAATTTGGTACGGTGTGTGAATGTGGTCGCATCCTGAAAGGCTCCGTCCGTGACATTGTGGAATTGCCGTGATGTTGTAGCCTGGTATCCTTTTTTCATGTAAGGAAGGGCATCGTTATCTCATTTGTGGCCTGGTCTGATTTACTGCTTCTTGTTTTCGTTTTCATCGTATGAACCCGACCATACTGGCACACCGGTTGCAGTAGTAACAGTTGACACCGAATTGGACTGACTTAGAACCGGGTGAGCTCAGGGAGAGCTGGCATCTGGAGCATCGGACTGCATCAAAGGTAGCATATGTAGATCCGGGAGTGGACAATGTGGCTGTAGAGGTGCCAGGTGCCTGGCGAGGGACTGCTGAAGAAGACATGGCGGTGACTGTGTTCAATTTTGACGGTTGCCTGTATTGCCGGAGCACGCCGGAGGGCTGTTGGTAGGCGTTGTTGTTATGCAGGGAGTTGCAAAGAGTGAAGATGCTTGTTCCTATGTACGGCCGGCGTAAAGGGTGATCTCAAGGCTTCTTTCTCTTCTGTGTGAATGTGTGAGTGTTGTAGGAAAAAGCAGAGAGAGGAGGGAAGAGAGTCCAGAGCGAAGGGACAAGAAGATGGTTATATATCAAAAAAAAGCCTTCTCCGAGCCGGAGGATGAAAAGCTGCGGAAAAAGCAATACCAGGGGAGACTTCTGCACTCCCTCCACCGTGCGCTGTAGGGATGATTTTCTGTCCCTTTCGTTGCTTTTTCTCTCTCGCCCAGCTGGCTGTATTCAGGCGGCCAGGCTTCGGTTCAGCCAATTTTGCAAAAAGGCAGCCAGCCCAAAGTTGCAGCTTGCAAAAAAGAAAGACGGACGACCCAGGACGAGACGGCAAGCTGAGCCACACTCTTCCACTGCCAGGAAAAAGCAACGACAGGGAGCCCAAAAGCCAAAAGCCAAAATAAAAAAAAAAAGAAGAAGAAGAAGAAGAAAGGAAAGGAAAAAAGGGCCCAGGGTCAAACCACCGCGGAATTAAAGGGCACTTTCTGTTTCAACTTCAGATTTCGAGATGGAACAAACGGAAGACGTGGCTCGTGGAAGCGTCTAGCCGGGCAGCAAGGGGGAGGAAGAAGAAATCCAGAAGAACCCACAATCAGGGCAGAAGAAGAATATAAGGCCGCCGTTGTGGATGTTTTGTAGGCCGCAAAGCGAGGCTCCATCGATAACTAGCGGACGAGAGACTGAGTCACGACGCCTGGTCCGATGGACAGACGAGCAAGATGGCTAGCTAGGCAGCTGTATTATTCATTTTTTATAGTTGTATATTTTGGTTCCTTTTTGTGTTGGCTTGCAGGCGCCTGGCTGGCTAGCTAGACTGGTCAGTCTCATGTATGGCTGCTTTGCTGATGGATGGAATGTATCATCTGCATGTCTATGGCACTCGTATGCCACGGCTGAGCCGATCCGGGCCTGATCCTGAACGCCCATGTCCGAAAGGGGCATGCCATGTAGCTCTGGTAGTGAGTGATGCCGATAACATATAGTAGTGACAAATATACGCCGTCGAGCCAGCTTCGATCGGCCCTCCTCGATCACAAATTTGGAGATGGGTCCCGGCAGGGCTCAAATCGTGCCCAGCAGCCGTGCTAAAGGGGGGTCCACGAACTGGTTTGGCTTGCTTTCTTTTTGGCCCACTGACTCGGGGATTGCGATGTTATGCAGCAGCAGCAGCAGCAGCAGGCTGGTTGCGCTGCCGGCCCTGTCGATGCATGTGTTGGCTTGTCAGCGCCCCGTTGCGACTAGTTACATACATACATACAGCGTTGCCACTGTCGCGATGGGGTTGGCAGGGCATGGCCAACAAGTTGGCAGCCGGCAGTGTACGCGGTTTGACAGGCTACTGATGCGCTGTTTCACTGCTGTCTATACGGAGTAGACGGCTGTCGTCTTCTTTTTTTTCCTTTGGGCGTTCGCTTTTTGATATCTCAGCGTTATAACTGTTCTCCCGCTGCAGCGGCCGGCCTGCATGGAAGCTCCGGCGCTACATGCAGTCAGGACAGCCCAACCGAGCTGTTCGCATGGGCTCGCTCGCTGGCCGGCTGAAAGGGAGGCCACGAACGCGATCATTAATCCAGGTGGGTGGATGAAACGAGCTTCTCTGCCCCCCCCCTCCCCCCCCGGTCCGCCGGTCGGATCAGGCATCAGTTTCGTAAAGGGGGAACGCGGGAAGTGGGAAAAGGCGGCGGTCACTACTCGACTAGAGCATCAGCAGGACGTCCAGGGCTGCGCTTAATCGTCGGCCCTATCGATCTCGTCGGAGCAAGACCGTTGATGCTGCTGGCGAGGCCGATGGCTATCTTGTCTCGTCTGGTCTTGTCCTTGTCTTGTCTTTGTGTCTATCACCAGCTAGTTAACTACGCTCAGGGGGCCTGGCTGGCTGGCTGGCTGGCTGGCTGCACCGAGGAGATCGCGGCTATGAATAAATCCGGGATCATGACAATGCATAACATGCGACGTATAGCCAGCATGCATGTCGACATATCCTGACATGACTCCTGCTTGAACTTCAGAGTACGGGCAATGTGCATACATAAACACGCATGCACGTCGTGTTCCCCTGAGCAGAAACACTCAATTATACATATCAAAAAGCCCCCAAAAATACCACATATGCACTATATACAGACATGCATGCATGCATACAGTCCCAGCCACTGCAGAGTGACGTTATCCCCAGGCTGGCTTCTGTTCCCTGACTCGCCAGAGAGACGAGCACGCAAGCAGATCGAGCAGGGCACCTTTGGATCAAGTCCGATGGAGGCTCGCAGACACTGCGATCTCTCTCGAGTTATCGACATCTATCGACGGCTGC